CTATTAACGTGTCCATATGCTAGTGGTATAGTAATACTCAGCTATGCTGAGCAAATAATGTCTGACTACAATAAGGTAGATTCCAACATTAATTGTGCATCAAAAGAAATGAGAACAGTTCCACAGGGTTTCCTCAAAGCCCCTCAGGTTCATTAGTCACCAACAACTCCACTGCATCATCTGGTGCCCACTCAAGGGATAAATTAGTTCTGATAGAAGCAAATGTCACTGGTTTGTAAGAGACCTAGACCCATCAGCTAAAGTGACACACAGCACAAGGGACTTCACTCCAGAGTTGGAAAACATTTAGGTCCTTTGTTAAAAATGTGGAAAATCCATGGTCTTTGGACATCAGCCCCATATATTGCAGCCATAAAGCATTTTGCTATGCAAGATTGTTTCTTAATTGTGAGCAAAAGTCATATTTGCCCAGTAAATATTTGGGCCAGCAGAACATAATAACACATAGCAACTGGTGAGCCAGGATATTTCCACCCACAACATTTGGGGAAAATCAGGGCCAGTAAATAAATCCCACCAAATTCAGCACATCTTTTGTAGTTGGCATTGGTCTCTGCTGAACAGTAAGTTATGTGTTTGAGCCAAATTGTGTGAACGGAAGCCTACCAATATCATATAAAGCCTTAAAGTCAGTCTGTCTGGGTCTGAGAGAGTGATCATAAAAATATAATTAGGCAGAACTCTATCCCTGGTCCCCCGGCTCTTGTATGAAAAGTACCCAAGTTAGTGTATCTTGTCAATATACTGCTTAAAACGCCAGCTTCCTTGCAATTAAAATCCATCTTTAGAACTCTTCAAGTTGTACTCAAAGTGACTAGTAATATCCTCATCTCCAACATTTGTTCAGACACCGGCCTGACTTCTATTGTTATAGATGCAATACATTCTGCTGCTGATATATAGAATTAACTCCGTCATTACCAAGTGATTTGCAAAAAATAATTTTGGGCATACAGAGGTTTTTCTGTTCTGGAAAATAATGTTGAATTTATTTTTCATGTCTTAACAAACATAGCACATAATCCCTAAAATACTTAATTATTCTTCACAGAAATAACGGGAATTGAGGGCGCACACGGAACATGCATTTCTAAGTAGTCGTGTTCCTGTAAAGACCAAAACCTATACAAAATACAGTTAAAGTAACAGTGCACACACAAAAACAAAAATACAGTTTTTCATTTTACAAGACTACTTAGAATCACATATCATAGTAAACAAATATGGGGATTCAGTTACACAATATGGCCATATTGTGTTAAGCCCACCACTACGTCACAGTAGCCATATATCAGTGGGTCCTACACTCATTTTAATATGGGAGATTTACATGCTACCTTGCAATACTTACTTGCAGTTTAAACTGCTTCCAGAAACTCCTCAATTTATGCTTCCCTGTGGTTGGGTGCGGTGCTCAACCCAATAAGAATCTGGCCTGGATTCCAAGTCTACACAGAAAAAAAGGGAATTTGGGGCACACCCAGAACATGCATTTCTAATTATTGGTACTGCTGTACAGATCAAAATCTAATTATTCTTGTTTATTTGGAGAAGAAAAAAAAACTAAAATTAGTTAAAGAAGTTACAGGTCAGTAACAAATAATATTTTAACCAACACATTTTCCCTCCCCACATGCCATTATGTATGTGTTTTGTAATTCCACTAAGCAATTAGCCAGAACTTGTTTGCCCAATATGTTGTCACGGTGACTATATTGCTTCCATATATTATCATATTGGCAATAGTGATGGCCAGAAAAACAACATTTTCACATTTGGATGCTGCATTAACCACAACTTATTTTACAAATACCATATTGCCCACAGCTGCCGCTACATTGCTCACAACAGTCGTAGTTTAATTCTTTGGCATAAGCTTTCCAAATTATTAAAAACTGTTAGGATAACTTTTCAAATAATTTATCTACAGAAGTCAGCACTAATTCATTCACTCTATAGACTTCGACCTCACTGACCTTAAATACTGGCCCCATCCATTGCTGAGTGGGCGGGTACATCATGTTCAGGCCTGCGGTGACTAATGGATACTCCGCAAATCTATACCTATAGACAGACCTAACTGGCAACACCACCCGAATGATACCGCAAGGTTTGCACATGGTATGCACGCCTATTATAAATGAGACTCAGTTGAGGCCCAGTCTTAACTTCCCTTAAAACTGAGGACACGATCCTCAGAGGCGTAAAGCTCTAAGGCTAGATGCACTGTAGATAATATTACATTAAGGCTATCCTAGCTATAAGATAAGGCCAGGGACTAATGAAAGTATTTAGAAAATTGGGCAGACTAGATGAGCCGAATGGTTCTTATCTACCGTCACATTCTATGTTTCTATTACCTGTACACCCAGACGATATTACCAGGATCCACGAACCCACTATGGTAGTGGTAACTTTTTGACACATACCACAATATTACTGATTGGCTCAATCAGAGTTGACAAATGCACCCTATCCAGTAAGGCCATAAGGTGTTGATTTCTGCATGCTCCACCGAAAGCATTATATATGATTTAATAGCAATGACGCTCTATTTTCCTATACTTGATAAAATTGTTATCTATGTTTCTGCAAGACCTGCATGTCTCTCACGTTATTTCCTAACCGCACTGATGTAACTGATTTGATGACACAAATAAAGCTTGTTTGAAACCTAGAAGTCACCACTAAAGTCTATGGGAACTTTATAGATAAATCATTTGGAAAGTTGTTTTGAGTGATTGTGATCATTTGGAAAGCTTATCCAAAGGAATTAAATTAAGACCAACATAATTCAAAGTGAAGTTGAAATCTTAGGCCAAAATAGTCAAATTGGGAACATCAGCTCAGAACAGTCCAAATTTCAATTTAGTTTTAGTCATGGTCTGTTGACTAAAAAGCCATTTTAGTCGTATTTTTTAGTCATCTGAATTGTTTTAGTTTTAATCTTGTTTCAGTCAACTGAATCTCCAGGAACCACCTGGCCATTAGATGCCACTAGAATTGAACAAGACTATGAGTGGATGTTGCCAATGTTATCTATCCACACAGGCCCAGCTGTAACCGCACCTATTTGAACCTGTTCTGGAATAGGCCTTCCATTTGAGGATTCTATAAGAAGTAAGGATATAATGCTGTATTGTGCTTTTTAGGATTGTGTTATACTTATCTCTAGAAATGAATAGGGAGTGCAGTCTAATGTTTGAAAATTGCACAGAAAATCATCTCAAAAACGTTTTTAAGTACATAAAGATGTTATTATAATGTATTTTTTTGTTATACTAAAAGATATTGTCCCTTTTAGTTCCTTCTTCACTTTGGGAAGGATGGAATTGAATGTATGATTGTTCACATCACAATGTTGTTAAGGAAGGGGTTAAGGAAGTTATTTTCATTATTTTTTTTTAAGGTTTATTTATCTAGCAGTTGCAACTAAATATTTTGCCACTTGATGTCACTACTGAGATAGGAAATCTAATGCATGCAACACTATGAGGTGTGATGATACTTGAATTTCTTTTGTGTTAAAGCTACTGAGTTGCAGAAAAATCTGGCTACAGATATTCAAATCACATATCACTGCTAGCTGAAACGTAGATCAAAACATGATTGGATGGATAGAGAAAATGCTTCAGCTATTAAATAATGTTAATGGATGCAAAGCCAAAGGGCAAGATGGTATCCCCATGAGTACTTAGGGAGCTTAGTGTACACATAGCAAATTCTCTGTTTTCAATCTTTCAATATTCTTTTGTAGGACATTAAGTGCTTTTTACTCTAACCCTTATTAACTACGTTTTATATTTAAAACAAATAATGGCTAATTTGGCATTCATCATTTTTTAGCCCCCTACCCCCATCCCCCCTACAAATATTTAAAAAGTAATAAAATAAGAATTTACACCCTTGTAATGTTGGGTGAAACTATTGGCATTGTTTTCCATGCCCGTAGCTTTCCATGTCCTTTTTTCTCCCTGGGAGATCTAATCAAAGATTCCTTTCTCCATGACCACTTCAATAAGCAGAAGTGGACATGGACAATGGACTAACTCTTTAATTCTTTTGGGCATGTGGACAAAGAAAACACATTGACAAGTTATATATTGATATTGGTTGTTAAATCAGGCTACTATTCCAGTTTTGTCACAAATATAAACATTGTATTAATCCATAGGCTGTGAACACAGTATAACGCAATACATTAGGATTTCCACTAGTTACACTTGTGTATGCATGGATTTGCTGCCCACTCTGTCTTCCATGCCTTGGCTGGTTAAACGGCCTTCACTCACATGGCTAAAAAGGAAAGAGACCCTTCTTGCACAGTTTTATGATCTTAAAGACAATTTGGGCAAACCCCCTCTCCTCTCTGGAGTAGACTAATATTTAAAAGGTTTTTAAAGGATAGCATTCAGGAATTTATTGTGATCAACATCATTAGTATTAACAAATTAAAATTAATACATTAAAAATATTTTTTTTACAGTGAATTGTACGTTGTTTGGATGACACAGTTGCAGGAGAGGAAGCAAGGTGGGATATCAAGGTGGGGGAAGGAAAGATAATAACAGTTTAATTGGTATGCTTTCCTAAAGAAGTGAGTTTTTAATGATCTTTTGAAATAACTGAGGTGAGAGTCTAACGGAGCTGTAAAGGGAGTTCTATAGGATTGGCGCAACCCTAGAGAATTTTTAAACGTGAGTGTCTGAGGTGCGAGTACCAACAGAGAATAGAAAGTAATGCATCAGTTTTTGCAGATGACAAAAAACTAGGTATGGTAATAAACTGTGAGCAGGATGTTACTTTGCTGCAGAGAGGTTTAGATGAATTAGGATAATTATCATGCAAATGGCAGGTGATATTTAATATAGACAAATACTAAGTTACCATATAAGCCGACTTTTTGTGCTGAAAAAGCCCCCCCCCTCGGCTTGTACTCGAGTGAGGGCTGTGAGATCGGGGAAGATGGCGCCGGGCGGATGGAAATCCTAACGACAGTCTCCAGACAGTCTTCTATCTGTACCATGGTAGGTGTCCGCACTGCTGGGGCCGGGTCTGGCTGTGTACTCCGCTCGCACCGTGTTGCACGCTGGGGACACGGACAGCTTCCGGGCAGGGCGCTCTTACTGCGGCTGCTCTGTGCAGGAAAGGCCGGGGATGCGCTGCGGCCTGGTTACCGGGTGGGAGAACGTGCTGCACAGCCAGAGACCACGGCCGGTGGGTGTATCTGCTACCAGTTATCAACGTGCTGTGTAAAATATATTTGGTTCATATTATGTGTACATATTATGTGTGCAAGTGAATACATATGACATGGAAAGCACAAAGGAAAAACTATGTATATACAGTCCCAGAAAGGTTTGCACACATCTATAACCCGTGTTTTCAGGAAGCTTCCTTCAGGATTTGTGCTGAGATTACTAGGTGTAATTGTTTTCAACTAAACACTCACATACTACATTATGAAAAGCAATCTCATTCTATCTTTTCATTACACCAAATTTGTCTCTGTATCTATGTATGTATATATGTCTCTGTATGTATGCATGTCTCTGTATCCATGTATGTATGTATGTCTCTGTATGTATGTATGTCTCTGTATCCATGTATGTATGTATGTTTCTGTATGTATGTATGTCTCTGTATCCATGTATGTATGTATGTCTCTGTATGTATGTATGTCTCTGTATCCATGTATGTACGTATGTATGTTTCTGTATCCATGTATGTATGTATGTCTCTATGTATGTATATATGTCTCTGTATGTATGCATGTCTCTGTATCCATGTATGTATGTATGTTTCTGTATGTATGTATGTCTCTGTATCCATGTATGTATGTATGTCTCTGTATGTATGTATGTCTCTGTATCCATGTATGTACGTATGTATGTTTCTGTATCCATGTATGTATGTATGTCTCTATGTATGTATATATGTCTCTGTATGTATGCATGTCTCTGTATCCATGTATGTATGTATGTTTCTGTATGTATGTATGTCTCTGTATCCATGTATGTATGTATGTCTCTGTATGTATGTATGTATGTCTCTGTATGTATGTATGTCTCTGTATCCATGTATGTATGTATGTCTCTGTATTTAAAAAAGGAATGAAATAAAGGATTCTTTTATGGAGAAAAGACTGTGAGTGCAAGCCTTCATTAATGGTATTATAATTGTTGGCAATGGCTGGAATACACCCGGCATTTTGAAGAGGATAAAACCTTTAAGTGTGTGTGCAAGAAGCAAAAGGGACTCTGTATGTATGTATGTCTCTGTATGTATGTATGTCTCTGTATCCATGTATGTATGTATGTTTCTGTATCCATGTATGTATGTATGTATGTCTCTGTATGGATGTATGGATGTCTCTGTATCCATGTATGTATGTATGTACGTACAGGGGCGGACTGACCGGTCGGGCACTTTGGACATGGTCCGAGGGCCCGGCCGGGAGGGGGACCCACCGCCAGGGCCGCCTTCAGGGGGCCCGGCATCTGGGGACTTCAGTGGAAGGTGCCACCGGGTGGCCGGTCCGGTGGCACACTGTGAGGGGGCCGGCCGCGTTTCATGCTGGAGCCGCCGGACCAGGTGGCAGCCTCGCCGGTCCGGCGGCATTCCTCTCACTAACGCTGAAGGAGGAGGAGCATGTCTCTCTGTCATGCTCCCTGCGGTTCCCACAATTCCCAGCACAGGATGTGGGAACCGCAAAGGAGCGACAGTGAGAGACATGCTCCTCCTCCCTTCAGCGCTAGTGAGAGGAATGCCGCCGACCGGGCTTAAGCCGCCATCCGTCCGCTGCCCAGCATGGAACGCAGAAATGGGCCCCCCCAGACTCTGAGAAAGAGGGGGTAATAGGAGAGATGGGGAGGGGGGAGAAAGAGGGGGGAACAGAGAGAGGGGAGGGGGGGAAAGAGGGGAACAGAGAGATGGGGAGGGGAAACGGAGAGATGGGAGGGGGGGAGAAAGAGGCAAAATAGAGAGATGGGGAGAAAGAGAGGAAGAATGAGACAGAGGGGAATAGAGAGATGGGAGGGGGGAAGAGGGGGAATAGAGAGATGGGGAGGGGGGGAACTGAGATGGGGAGGGGAACGAGAGATGGGGGAGGGGAGGGAGGGAAAGAGGGGCAATAGAGAGATGGGAAGAAAGAGAGGGAAGAAATGAGAAAGAGGGGGAATAGAGAGATGGGGAGGGGGAGAAAGAGACAGAGAGGGAAGAATGAGACACAGGGGGAATAGAGAGATGGGGAGGGGGGAGACAGAGAGGGAAGAATGAGACACGGGGAGAAAGAGGGGGAATAGAGGGAGGGGGAGAAAGAGACAGAGAGGGAAGAATGAGACACGGGGAGAAAGAGAGGGAAGAATGAGACACAGTGGGAGAAAGAGATGGGGAGGGGGAGACAGAGAGGAAGAGAGATGTGGGGGAGAGAGAGACAGGAAAAGGGGGGAGAAAAACAGTGGAAGAGAGGGAGAAAGAGGCAGAGGGGTAAGAGAGACTGGGAAGGAGGGGGGAGACAAAAAGGCACACAGAAGGGCTGTATATATCACTGGTGGATTCAGGGAGGCAACAGGGCAATTGCCCCCCCTCCCCTCTCCGCAGGCACCATGCGGGCAGGGGAGGGAGGAAGAGAGGACCTGGGAGTTCACCCTGCAGCTCCTCTGGGTCCTTCTTGCGCGAGCACAGAGCGTTGCCGCGGTTACCATGGCAACGTTACTGCTCTTGCGAGAGTCAACTCTAGCCCTGGAGCTACGGGCTAGAGTTCACTCTCAACACTGTGACCCCCAGGGATTCCTGGTGGTCGCAGTGGTGAGAGTGAACTCTAGCCCATAAACACACTGCCCCCACACACACACCATACACATTCACACACTGCCCCCCATACACACACACTGCCCCCACATACACCATACACATTTACACACATTGCCTCACACACACACATACACTGCCCACCCATATACACACAGACCCCCATACACAGCCCCCCATGCTAACATTGCCACACACATACACAGCCCCCTCATACACACATTGCCCCACACACCCTACACATTCACACACTACACCCCCACACATACACTGAACCTTTCACACACATTGCACCACTGCTCCTATTCCCTACTACAGCCCCATATCCCAGCAGACCCCAGGTAAGTTGTCAAACTGTTCTTAAATGGTTTGACTACTTACTCTGGAGCAGTAGTGGTTATTGTGCATGGATTATTTCTTTAACTAATCTACAAGTGCCCCAGTAGCCAGCCAGCCCACAGGCCGGCCAGCCAACCCACAGACTGGCCAGTAGCCAGCCAGTTAGCCAGCCCACAGGCCAGTAGCCAGCCCACAGGCCTACAGCAAGCCACAGGCTTACAGCCAGCAAGCCCAAAGCCTGCTAGTCGCAGCCACCAAGCCACAGCCTGCCAGCCGCAGGCAGAAAGCCGCAGCCTGCCAGCCGCAGCCAGCAAGCCGCAGCCTGCCAGCCGCAGTCAGCAAGCCCAAAGCTTGCCGGCAGTAGCCAGCAAGCCCACAGCCTGCCAGCCGCAGCCAGTAAGCCCACAGACTGCCAGCCAGCAACAGTAATTAAGGTAAGAGGAGCCAACTTGGCCTAGGTATCAGCGAGCTATGTTGTGTTGTTATATTGTGAATAGGAACCACCCTCCAGGCCCCATTAGACTCCATTGTAGTCTCTAATGGGGCCTGGAAGAGATTCTTTCTAACACACTCTCTAAAGGACACTGAGATAGCCTCTGCTAGAAATCCCCTCCATGGCCCATTAGCCCTCAATTGTAGTCTCTACTGGTGCCTGGAGGCGACTGTTTCCAGCAGGGGCTATCTAATGGATGCTGAGATGGCCTCTGTTAGAAAGACCCTCCTCCATGGCCCATTAGCCCTCAATTGTAGTCTCTACTGGGGCCTCGAAGGGCTTATTGCACTTTTGTTCCTTGTGTCTAAAGATTGTGCAGGGTGTGGCTGGAGGCGGTGCATGGAGGCGGGACAAGGGTGGCGCTTGCTGCAGAGTATGGGTGGGGCGTGTAAGGGGCCCTTGATTTATTTTGCCCGGGGGCCCTGAGGGTTCTCAGTCCGCCCCTGTGTACATACGTATGTTTCTGTATCCATGTATGTATGTATGTATGTCTCTGTATATATGAATGTATGTCTCTGTATGTATGTATGTATGTATGTCTCTGTATTTTAAAAAGGAATAAAATAAAGGAATCATTTATGGAGAAAAGACCGTGAGTGCAAGCCTTCATTAACTGTATTATTAAGTACATTAATTGTATTATTAAGTGTGTGTGCAAGGAGCAAAAGGGACTCTGTATGTATGTATGTATGTCTCTGTATGTATGTATGTCTCTGTATCCCTGTACGTATTTACCAGTAGCTGCTGCATTTCCCACCCTAGGCTTATACTCGAGTCAATAATACTGGCTTATTTCCTGTTCTGTCAATGAACTGATAGATCCTGCAGGGTACCCCTGTGTGTGATTACAGTTAAATTAACAGAGCAGGAGATAAAAACCTCTAAGGAAGCACAGTATGCTGTAAGATCTTATTAAAAATAAAAACATTTTATTTGCGTAGGCTGTGTAATTCACAGACAGGGTAGGTGTGTTTAGGGCTGCTTAAGCAGAAACAAAATTGATTTAACTCCTAAATGTCAGAGTACTAAGCAGTGGAACTACTGGGACAACAGTGCTTCATTAAGCTAACGCTTATAGTATCCCTTTAATTACTGCATGTTATTTTATAAATGGCAGAGGAGAGCAAATTACATTGCAAAGCACATATTGGATTATTATCTGACACAAAGAAAATTGTATTTAAAGTTTGGTCTTCAGAAAAAAAGACCAAACTTTAACACTCATTTTATTGCTATTAGGAATATTGGAAGGTAAACAATTTTAGTTTATAATGTGGAAATCTGAACTAGGTTACACTATATTTTCCTATGTATATTTTTTTTTCTTGTTTTCATAGATAGTAATACTCATAGTCAATTCAGAATATTGCCTATTCAAAGCAAATGTTACCATTGCACTAATGAAACTGCCAACAAGGTACAAGCACTAGAAGTTATAGTTGTGTGCTATGTTCTCATGAACAGACAATATGAGCAAACCGGAGATAACATGTAGTGTGCTTACTGGTTGCTGACCTAAAGTTAATATAAGTAAAAAAGAAAATTGGCTCTTTTGATGGTTGTTATCTTGAGG